AGCTCTCCCCGGGCCTGCGTCTTCCGCGCCGCCACCGCCGCCCCGGCCTTCGCGGAACGGTGCACAGAGAACTCCATTGTTTTCTCTAACCGTCCTCGAGGACAGAGTTCCCACGGGGTGGGGACACTCGTCTGCATCTGAAATCAGGCTTCAAAATGGCCACCCCCAGAGCGAGGCCCCCACCATCACCCGCCATTGCTGAAAGTGTCGAGAGGAGGTGCGAGCGGTGCGCGCAGCGCCACCTGCTGTGTGGGAGGTCTCGCTGCAGCGCCCACTCCGCCAAGCCTTTGAGGGGTGAGGATGGGGCAAAGAGCGTTTTCTGAAAAAGGTGATAATCCCCCCAAAAACAAACAAACAAACAAACAAACAACCCAACAAACATTTTTAAGCAGCGCCTGTCTTCAAAAGAATTTTTCACAGAAATTATTATGATGAATCCATAAGTAATCGTTGCTTTATGCAATGAAAGTTTTTATTTGGAAGTCAATACCGTACATTTGCATGATTTAAAAATCGGAAGTATAAAAAGATACAGAAAAGTGTTCCAAAAGGGGTAAAAACTCTTCCATTCTTGCCGTCCATCTGCCCATTCTTCTCTCCCCTCCCCGCCGCCCACAGCAACCGGTTCTTGGTTTTTAATATATCTTTAGAAACTTGAAATGGCAGTTTTGCTGCCATTTGCAGTCTTACACCAGCTTCAGTAGTCAATTTACTTCAACAATAGCACCGTGTCAGGCACATAGTAAGTGCTCAACAAATATCTGTTGGATGAGTGAACTCAGAGTCAGTCCGTTATTGGCACAAGGCTGGAACTCATACCTATGTCTTTGAAACCCCTCTCCTCTCCAAAACCCAAACCAGCTCTATTTTCTAGGAGGCAGTAAACGAGATCTATGACGTAGTACAATCAATGAAAGAATTCCTACCGAGTGCCTTGTTCATAAACAAAGCTCTCCCTCCAACTATAGGAGTGACACAAAACGTCTCAAAGCCCACATGAGGACAGCTGTGGGCTCACAAAGGTGTGGGTTGGGCGGGGACCCTGGTCAGGGCAAAGGGAGGAAACCGTGACCCGCCGCCTCCTTTGCCAGGGCGCCCACGACCCCTGACCCGCGCAGCGCCCTCTAGTGGTCACAATGCTCCGCAGAAGGCGGGGAACTCTGAAAGGGACGTGCGCCCTGTGACCACCCACCCCGGCCTTCGGACTTTTAAATCCCGGGTCTTAGGAGGGCTCCCTCGGTCCAACTGTTAAGAATCAGGCTGATTGCTTTCTGAGCTACAGCGTAATGAAGTGGGAAGGGCAGGCGTCGGAGCCAGAAGACCTCAAATCAAATCCTTGCTCTGACAATTCGCAGCGCTGTGGCCATGTGGTCACTCGAGCTCGGCTGTCGAAAGGGGTGGGGGTCCACCTACCTGGCAGGGCTACTGTAAGGGGACGTGCTCTCATCAAGGGCCCGGCATAGAGCAGTGCTCAGTAAACCTCACATCTTGTCACCGCGACTGGGCAGGAGGCTGGTGGTTGCTACATTAGGCATGTGCCACATGCTTTTTAGAATAAAAGCATTTATTCATGAGAGCAGAAACGTGAAACGCAGCCGGTGACACGGGCCTCCTGTGGGTGGGCGCTTGGTCGGAGGGGGAAACTCCTGGCCAGGGCTGGAACGGCCTGGGTGTACTGAGCCACAGAAGGACCCAGAAAGCCGTGGAGACGCTAGGCTTTCCTCACTTAAGGGTGGTGACCAGGAGGGCAACCAGACTAAGCCGATCGCGGAAGCCACTGTGGTCCCCTCGCCGCAGGTCCGCGTTGACCAGCCAGCTCTGGGCAAGTGGCCAGGGATGGGAGGAGCTACAATGAACCCCCGAGCCAGGTCTCCTGCACATGTCCGGTGTTCCAGATCCTTCCTAGCCACTAGCGAGAGGTGCTAACAAGCACTTGAAACGCGGCTACTGCAACCCAGGAAATGATTTTAATGTTATTTCATTGAAATTTAAAGACTGATACCCAATTCCGTTATAGGAAAATTTTTAAGTATATTTGAAACAACTCGAGGATGTGAATCTATTTTTTCAACTATAAATTTAACAAAATCTAAAAATAGACCAAGTACTTTGGATAAAAATTTAATACCTGAATTGGGCTGTAGGTATAAAATTTTCACGCAAGATTCCAAAGATGTAAAATATCATTTTTTTTTATATTTACAGTTGAAATACTATTTTGGACAGACTGGGTTGAATAAAATGTATCATTAAAATTAATTTCACCTGTTTCTTTTTATATTTTTCCAATGTGGCTCCTAGAAAATCTAAAGTAAAGCTACCTATGTGACTGGCATTATTAGATTTCTCCTTGGCTGGGCTGGTCTAGTCCCACCCCAGGTCTTGCTCTCTCTGACCTCCCACTGGGGCCCAACCCTTTGGCCTGCCTCTCAGGCTTGCCTGCTCTTTGGTTCTGGCATATGCTGGGCCAGACCAGACCGGGGGGCAGAGGCTGAAGGGGAGGCCCACTCCTGTCCGGAGGCCAGGGGGCTGGCAGAGGATACCTTGGCAGCCAGGAGTTCTGGAGTGAGGAGTATACCTGGAATGGTTGGTGGTCAGGGTCAGAGAGGTCTGGGGTCAGGGTGATGGCCTGAGGCAACATCCTGGTCTGCGAAGAGCTTGGTAAACAGTGAGGGAGAGGAGGCAGTCAGGGCAACGAGACAGAGACCCAGTTTCTACAATCTGAGGCAACATCCTGGTCTGAGAAGAGCTTGGTAAACAGGGAGAGGAGGAAGTCAGGGCAACGAGACAGAGACCCAGTTTCTACAACCAGGACTCAAAATGACGGCTTGGTCACAAGGACTAAGCTAAGCACCTAATTACTCCATGAGTTCAGAGCAGGACAGCAACAAGTCTGACTTAGATGTAAAATCTGAACTCCTACGTGAGGGCCTCTGAATTTCACGGTCAAGGGACAAGCAGTTGGGTCTGCATTTGCAGTAGGAGGCCCGGCTGGAGCTGGAGGGTTCAGGGAAGAAGCCAGACGGTTGAAATCCTGGTCCCACAGCGGCCCCCATGCCCAGGCCAGCTTCGGACCTGAGCCGTCCCACACCCTGGTCCCTGTGACCCACAGTGTGGCCTGGTGGAGTAGATTCTGTTCTCAATTGGGCCACCAAAATACAATGCAACCAGAGGGCTCTGGCTCAGGGACCAAAGGCATCTGAGGGATTCATACAAGACCTTGGGCATCCACCCCGCCTTGTACCCCATTTCCCCTTAAACTCCAAGATTACACAAGTGGCAGGCTGCCCAGGCCAAATTCCTTGTTCCTCTCAATCCTTGATTCACTAACACACAAAGCCAGGTCAGAAGGGGACATGCAGCCGTGGGTACAAAACAACCAGGGCCCTCTCCTGTGCTGGCTGTTTGCGACCCAGACCTCCAGACCACAGGGCCCCGCTCCACAGTGTGGCCGGCTGCACTCAGAAGTACAGACCACTTCCAGGTCAACATGGCTGTCATCGACCTTCCCCAGTGAGTTGGGTCCCGGTTCTCTGTCCAGGGTAAGAAAGGCTTGTTTAGATCACAGGTTTGGGGGCCTCAGCCCTTAGCCCCTTTGCAGATTTGCCTTGCTTTTGGTTTGACAACTAAAGGACTCCTCTTGTGTGGTAAGTCTTGGAGATAAATACTTTGAGAGGAGAGAGACTGTGACACAAATTTTCTAAAGGGCTCTCTGAAACGCGGTCAAGGCCATTTTATCTTGTTGAATGTGCGTGTGTGCGCACACAAATACCACCCCCCTCCCCCCCGCATTAAATACCCAGCTAAATGCTACCTTTTAAAACATCTCTCGTTAAATATTTACTTTCCAACCCCAGCCAATAGGACTGGGGCAGGACTGGGGGACTTTCAGGCTAGACTATTCTAGAAGTTCCCACCATTTTCCCAAATGGCCCGCTCCCACGAGCTCTTGGAAGGAACACCTTATGAGAATAAAGGGGAAGATTCATTCTGTTTTTGATTAGACAGCAATGAGGTACTGTTAGGTTTTATTAGATACAAGGAATTATCAATTCAAGTCAGAAGCAGTGCAACTACTGCCATATTATAAAGACGAGTCCTCAAGATCCCAGACTGTGACCTGACTGGAGGGCCCTCGCCAGTGGCTCCTGGTCCCACTGATCTAATCCAGGGCCTCCACTCTCAGATAGGCTCATGCAGCCTTCATGCCTCGTAATAGTCCTTGGGCGAGAGACCCACCACCAAGGTCATCCCCACCAGCACCTAACTCTTCTGTCTGCAGGAAAAGGATGGCACTTATCTTAGCCATGACTCCAGGAAGCCAAGGTGGGCCCGGAAGGATCCCGGAAAGTCTTGTCTTTGTCAATTGGGAGGCGAAACCAAATCTCAGTAAAGAAAAACCTCCTCTCTTCACCTGTTCGTAGGAAATACTGAAAGTAATGAAAAACGTGTAAACCCCCCTTTACATCAGAGGCTTGCAAACTCAAACGCCCACCAGGACCAGGACCAGGACCAGGACCAGGACCAGGAAGGGGGTGGATGGATGAGAGGGGTTCAAGTGGGGGAGTGGAAATCCAGCAAAATAGAGGTGACAGCTGGTCCCACCCTCCACCCAGAAAACAAATTATTTTTCTTTTTTTTTTTTTTTATGTGCAGTCTCCTAACTTTCAAATATTGGCAACGAACTCATTAATAATGTTTTCAAACACAACAGAGGCTGCTGCCTTATAACTTTTGCCTTAGAAAATCTCCTGACTTAAAAATAACTCCCTCCCCCCACCAAATAATAAAATTGTAACCAGCTCATTGCAAAGAAATTAATGGATAAATAGAAAAATATAGCAGCTTCAAAGATATCAGTCTCCCGTTCTAAATCAAAATCAACAGCAATTCATTGAGTTCATTCTTCTGCAGGAGTCAGCTGAGTCCTTCTACCAGAGACTTAGCTCTGCATTATGAAAATGCCAGCCCGCTCTGGATAAGATAGCATCCTACCTGCCCTCACACTAACAGGGATTACGCTCCCTATTATAGAGGATAAATTTGAGGCATAGAGCAGAGAGGGATCCTCTTAACACGACAGAGCCCCTCACCACGGAAGGGTTGGTTCCCATTCCACATTTTGGCACCATCGTTGAGAGAGCTGGAATAACTAAAGGAAGTTATGCAGCGCTTGGCAGAACGCTGAGTAAATAGTAGGCACAATTGCATGTCTGCTGTGAATCACGCATGAACGAATGAATTTAGCTTCTTCCCTTAGATAGTACTTCCTACTAGGGAAAAATCAGGAGCTGTCCTTGCCATTCCAAAGACTGGATTTCTCCAGGGGAAGGCAAGAAAGACAAAGGAGGTAATGCAGAGTTCCCTCTCTGAGTGAACAGATGGCTTTCCTGACTTTCAAGGGAACGTCATCAACCCTGTCTGACTCATAAACAGAGAAAAAAGGATTCAGGAACTTGGCACCTCTGGGCTATGTCGGCTTTGATCTTGGTTTAGGACTTGAGATTGAGAGCAATTCCTATGCCCTTGTATTAATCCATACCCCTAATTTTCCGTTTGGTGCCGTGGGCAGTTCCTGGCATCCTTGTTCTCAAAGGACTTGGCACAGAAAATCAGTGTCAACATGAAGAAGAAAGAGGCCCTTTCTTCTCATGGGTTTGCAAGGCTATTTCTGTCCTGGGCCTGCAGCACATAGGGCATCTTGGCTCTGGCCCCACAGCCCCCCAGGCAATGGCGGTGCAGTCTTTATTCTGGCTTGCTTGGGAGCCCAGGTCCTAGGAAGCCCAACCTCCTCTGCTCTGGGGACTCTTCCTAGAATATGACAGGGAGAAGAGACTGGCTCAGTTAGAGTTTCTCAAACGTGCCATGACTGGCATTTTGAGTGGAATAATTCTATGCTGTTGGAGATTGTCCTACACAATGTGAGATGCCCACTAAATGCCAGGAGCACCCACTGTCACAGGGACCCTCCCAACACGCACACGCATTCACACCTTTCCAGTGCTGCCTGGAGGGGTAGCCAGGCCCTTGGTTGAGTGACAGGTCTAAGACCACCCCCCTCCCCTCCATCTGATGACTTCTGGTCCAGAGTTCTTTCCAGCTACACTTGAAATGATGGATGCTCATGCAAACAAACAAAGGATGCCACAGCACCGCAGAGCCTCAGAGTAGACAGCCATCTGTCTCAATGGCATAGAGAAACTGAGGCCCAGAGAGAAGAAACAACCTCACCATGACCAGAGAGTGACCAAATGCAAAGTGGGATGATATGTTTTCCTAGGTCCAGCTTAGCTTAGTAGGTCCTGCTTAGCTTAGTAGGTCCTGCTGCCTTGCTGGTAACTGTAAGTGTGGCAGCCCCCAGCAGGTGGGGCCTCCGTAGTTACTGCCACCCCAAGATCAACATGCAGGCATGGAGGCTCAGTGAGAAGGAGCCAGCCCCCAGTCTGCAGGTTAGAGCTGGGGCAGCCCAGGGGTCCAGACTTCACCTCGAGGCTCCAGGGGGCTCAGCGGGAGGGTGGACAACTCCATCACAGGCTCTCGATCCCTTTTCAGGATCCTCACAGTCTCCGTTGGGAAATATGGCTGTCAGTGCCAGCTCCTCCTCGGAGTCCTGGAAGGTATCTGGAACACAGGAAGTGGAATCACCCAATCAGAAGATAAAGTTTATGAGTGGGTAAGCTAAGAAGGAAAGGGAGGGATTTGGCCCCAGTGACTATCTACTTCAAAAACACAACAAAATACATATCAAAAACCTTAAAAATGTACATACCCTTTGACCCAGCAATTCCACTTCTAGGATTTTATCCTAAGGAAATAATTAGGAATAATTAGTGGAACTGCCGCAGACATCTCGCTACCAGCCTAAGGATGAAACAGCAATAAGGATGGCCCAGCAGAGAGAAAGAAAGAACGTGAATCCTTGATGGAGTCACTGGGCCCCTGAATCACCCAGCCCTGAAACTGACTGACCTCTAGACTGTCTTTTAGGTGAGATAATGAATACCCTTGTTGCTTATGCTAGTTCGAGTCATGGCTTCTTTACCTGTAACTGAAACCAGTTCTATCCTGGTTTGATGTCCAACAAGGGGATTGGTTGAATAAACTGTAGCTCACCCACATGATGGCATCCAGGCATTAAAAATGATGTCTAAAATTCCATGGAACTAGACACATACACACCTAAGTACAGGTAAAGTTGGGGGAATCTGAATAAGATTTGTGGATTGTTTCAATATCATTATCCCAGTTGTGATATCATCCTACAGTTTTGCAAATGTTACCATGGGGGAAACTGGGCCAAGTGTCACAGGAGCTCATGTGACTCCACAATTACCTCAAAAAAAAAAGAAAACATAAACGATGTTGTTGACATATAATTATTGCCGTGGAATATTGTATAGTCACAATATATTATTGATGAAGAAAGCAGATTCCAAAACAATATGTATAACTGTTTGTATGTAAGTATGTACAATTCCATATTATCATATATTATAAATGTATATGTACAGTCTATTAATGCAATTTGCATTTTAATAGTCATTTCGCCAGGAGATTAAACAATTTGTAATATGTTACAGAGGATAGTTATCTAAGATTTACATTCAATTGTCTGATTCCTTTGCTTTTGTTTTCCTTTAGTTTCCAGATACATCCAAAATGGTGATGGGGAGGCTGAAATGAACATTTTTGCAATTAAATATTTTAAATAGCTGATGAAGATGATTTACATATTATATAGAAGTAAATTTATTAAAATTTAAGTAGCACAAGGAGATATAGACAGACAGAATGGTCTACCCCAAAATACAGATTTGTAGTTGTCTTTGAGTGATGGAATTAAGTGAATGATTTTTTTAAATATTTGTGTTCCGTTCCTTCTTCTGTACTATTTGAGCTTTCAACTGTGATAGCCAGAATTCTAAGATGGCCCCAAGCCATCCCAAGCCATCCCAACCCTTGGCTACCACTCCCTCTGCGTAAGCCCCTCCCTTGAGCGAGGGTGGGATCTGTGAGGATGAGGCAGTCGCTCCCCTTGATCTGGGCACCGTACAGGACAAAGGTTATGGAGAGTCAGTCCTGTGATAATGTCACATTATAGAAGCGTGGAGAGTCCCCTGCTGATCCAAGGAGCAGCTGCCATGTGGTAAGAGGGCCCGTGAGAGACCTGCGGGGACGCTTGGAGCTGAGAGCCAGCGAGAAGGCAGGGAGCGCGGTCCCACAGTGGCAAAGAAAGAGACTCTGCCTATGACCCTGCAAGCTTGAAGGAGGCCCCAGGCTGCAGAAAGGAACGCGGCTCTGTGAGGCCCTGAACAGAAGGCCCAGGCTTAGCTTAAGCCACCCCTAGCTCCTGACTCTCAGAAAGTATGAGAGAATAAACGAGCGTTGTTTTAAGCCGTTGAATTTGTGATAATTTGTTACTCAGCAATAGAAGACTGATAACGTCAACTAATAATTTCTTTTTAAAAAGGGACACAATAAAATGTCATTTTAAAGCACTGCTCGTTGTTTCTGTCACAAAGCTATACTGTTCAGCACGCTTTGGGAAGGGTGTGGGGGGTCACGCATATCCAGCTGGTTACAACCTGCTGCCCCCAGTACAGTCATGCACTGCATAACGACGTTTTGGCCAACTATGGGCCGCTTATATGAAGGTGGTCCCACGAGATTATAATGGAGCTGAAAAATTCTCATCACCTTGTGGTGATGCTGCTGTAAATAAACCTACTGTGCTGTCGGTCGTGTAAAAGGGTACCACATGTAATTGTGTATGGTACATGACACTTGATAATAATAACAAAGAACTATGTTACCGGTTTATGTATTTACCATACTATGCTTTTCATCATTATTTTAGAATATATTCTTTCCACTTGTAAAAAAATGTTTGCTGTAAAACAGTATGCCATGTTACACTGGCAGCAACCTCATACGTCTTGTATTTACTGTATCATTTTCTCTTGTGCTTGATTTAACCTCATGTTGTTTTGTACAGTGACGTGCGGTACAGGTCTGTAGCTTAGGAGCAGCAGGCTGTACTGTACGGCCCAGGTGTGTAGCAGGCTCGACCAGCTAGGTTTCTGTGAGAGCACTCTGATGTTCCCACAACCATGAAATCACCTCAGATGCATTTCTTAGACTGTATCCTCAAGGTTAAGCAGCAAATGACTGTACTTTCTACCTGAGTCACAACACGTTCAGCCGACTGAGTGCCCTGTGGACTTCAGGGAAATGTCGTTCCTTTTCCCTTCCCCCCACCGCCATTGAGCAGCCAGATGATTCTACTCTAGAAATGGGTCCTGGGTGGATGAGCTCCTTTCCCTCCAACACTGCCCCTTTGAGTCCAGGCCGCCCATCGTCCCTCCTGGGACTATGTAGTCCCCTCCCAGCTGGGCTCTGCCCTTGGTCACTTCTTGCTTCTACGGGCCAGTCTCTAATACACCTCTAATCTCCACACCCCTGCTCAGAAATCACCTGGGGTGCACTATTCCTGAGAGACGCGGGTCCAGGGCCCAGATTTGGTCTCACCCACCGTCTTCTGTAGCCGCGGCCCTCACGGGTGTCCTTCTGTACCTCGCCCCTGGCACTCCTGACAGGGGGCCCCTTTCTGAGTGTGACATCATGCTGTCAAGTTCATGGTGATCTGTCTTCAAATCTTCCCACTTCTTCCTAAGAAGATCCTCCGGGCCCCGCTCAAATGTCACTTGCTCCGTGAGACCATGCATCTGGCTCCATGTGCCCCACCACGCCCGCGTGGCCGACACCTTCGTTACAGCCCTGCCCACACTGCTTCGCTAAGCTGAGACTCCGGGGCTAGAGCCCTGCTGACCGAGCCTGTGTGCCGGCTGTCTGGTGGCGGGGGCATTGCACATCGCTTACCCCTACAACTCACACATGAAAAGTGCTCCATGGATGCAGGTCCACTTCTTCCCTAAGGTCCCTGTGTTCACGTGACTACTCCCATATCCCAAGCACCCAGCCCTCAGGGTCCAGGCCAGGAAGGCGACACACTCACCCTGAGCTGGGACACTGGGGGAGGTGGCATCTGCGTCTTTCCCCCGGCTCCAAGGACCCCAGGAAAAGCAGGCCAGCAGCGCAGGGAGGCCTGGTCTCTCCCAGGCTCCTTCCACTAGAAGAACACAAAGTCCCAGAGGCAGCGGGTCAGAGGCTGTTTGACTCCACTGGGAGATTTTCTGGTCAGCAAACCAAGAGCTTCAACTGTCAACTGCCCTAGTTTCAACTATCTGATTAAAAAACAAAACAAAACAAAACAAAAAAAATGAAGATTCTGATTTGCAAAGGGGAGTAGGGGCTTTGTACTTAAAGAAAGAAAAAGAACCAAAAAAAAAAAGGTTGCTTTATATATGTCATTTCATCCTCACAAAAACCCTATGGTGTAGGAACCATGTTGGAGAAACTACAGTAATACAGTAACACAAGTGACATGAAATGAGTTACGATTTCATAGCACCAATGAAAATATGGAAGGAGCAGCAAGTTGCCCGATTTTTAATTTAAACTATTCCGTAATAGGAATAGATTTAACCTTTTTTGATAATCGCACACAAAACGGTTGCATGTGGATTCCAGTTTCCTTATTACAGTACCACCAAAGTTATCTGAGAGCCCCAACCATCTGGAATAAGGCAACGGATTTTTGAAAGAAGACTCCAGGCAGCCAAACACACAGGAAATCCTTTTTCATAATTTTTTACTAGGGTCCTATTTATTCTTAATTTGCACCCAGTTCTAACAAGACTGGATTTGTAGTTTTTCAACCCAAAGGCAGCTGGATTAGGCATAAACTGGGTAAAAGGGCATGCCAAGAGGCAGGCAACCTAAAAGTATAAGAACAGTCACCAGGCAGTGACAAAAGAGGAAATGGGAATACGGTGGCGATTAAACTCACAAGGGAATGTGACAAAACCACGTGGTAAGAGATTAGAGAGCAGAAATGGGTTCTGGGATTTCACTTTCGAACATGCAAAAAAATGAGTGAGCAGGATCAGGGAAGGCTTCCTGGAGGAGGAAATCCAGTTCTGAATGATGAGATGGAATTAGTCAGGTGAAGAAGAGGGACGAAAGAAAAAGGCTTTTCATTCTGAGGTGACTGTGATGTGTGCAAAAGCCTAAGAGGCCAGATCAAATTTGGCTCTGGGGAATTAAAAGTTGTTCCTCCAAGATAGGAGAAAGCTAAGAGACTAAGGGCTCAGAGAATTTTCTAGGCAACAGCTCATTAGGGGGCGGAAAACTTTCCCCCATGGGGCCAGGTCAACGAAGGGGCTGGCATCAACAATGGGAAGGACAATCCACCTCTGGGCATTCCCTGAGTCTTTCAGGATGATGGTTGTGGAGTTTCAAGGTTAGCGGGCTTCCACAGACTCAACTGAAAGAGGTTGTGGGGGTTGGGGCAGGCTCCACAGCTGAGAGGGATGGCCTTCACCCAGGCAAGCCAGGCTGGCAGGTGGGTCTGTGACATTTGTGACCTCAGAGGTCTCTTTGCTAGAAAAGCCGCCCC